GATGTTCTATTTCATGGTAAATTTGATCCAAAAGCCTCAAAGCCTGCCTCTACCCATTCTAGTCAAAAATGGATAGAAAATGGACAGAAAATAAAGAAATAAAAAGACAGACAGGGAGATGTAGCAACATATGTCCTTACTTTTCTTCACAGGAAATAAATCAACTCCCCTGGACTCCGCCAAATGTCAATGTCACTAAAATTGGTGAGAAATAACATGGGAAGTGAACGAAGGCAAAGACAGTGCTTGGGTTTGATCTCCCAAATAAAGATATTTAAAATCCCAAATAAACACATTTGCATGTGTTCATCATTTCATGTTTAATTTTAATTATTTTCAAACTCATTTCATGAGCCAATTTAATTTGAGTGTTATAATACTGGAGTTATGATGACAAGAAAATCTAGGACATTATTTTTGACCTCATATATAACTGAATAATATCTCAACCTCACAGCAATCTTACAAACACATTGCATAGAATTTATAAGAAAATATATCTTTGTTTTCGTTTAAGAAATCTTCTCTCCTTCAGAACAAAAACACAAAAATGTTCATGCTAAGCACCTCATACTACTGTATATTAGCCCATTCAGAATTTGCTGTCTAGAATCCGGTCAGGTTCTTCCATATTTTGAATGTTTATGAGGGCATATGTGGCTCGGATATCTTTTTAAAAGTCTTTGTCATCCAAAAACAAAGCTGAGCTTTTAAACTAAGAGGTATGCTTCAGTTATTACAGACGTGATCAATTTATTTTTCACCTTTTATCTTCTGTTGTCAAACATACCATGTCATGTCTCTCGCAACTGAAGAAAATGCTGTCAAAATTTTCAAACGACAATGTTTCATGTGTTATAATGAGGTTGATGACAGCCATAAACACAAGTGTTACTGGATTACTGTTTGCAAACCTCCTTGGAATTAGATTTTTACATGAATGGCTCCTAAATTTGTGCATGTTGCTTATGAATTAGAACTATTATGAATTTCTGATTATCACTTAATTTATTACTATGAAATTATATTTTAGGAGCTATTCTTGTATAAATATTTTTTTTTTTCTCCAAATGCAAATAATTCCAAATGGGTCAAAAACTGTTTCTCATGACTGTATATACTTTTCCTTATGAATGGTTATTCCATATTGGCAGTTTACTTTTCAGTCACTGTGAAAACGTTTTGTAGAAATGACCCTCTAAATCATATTTTTATTTACCCAAGTGCAGTGGTGCATGGACCGAAACACTGAAAACAGTAAATAATGTAACAATGACGATTAATAATGAACTTGCAGTATTGATTTCTGCACTACATCATGTGGAGGGAATAAAAAAGACGCAAACACACAAACAAATTTTAAATAAAATAAGCACAATCATAGAGCTGGGAAAAGATTACGGCACCTCTTTTTGACTGGCAGGATCAATTTTAGTTAAGACCTAAACACAATCCAGCAATTAAATTTGATTGATAACAGTTAAATTAGAAAGAAAGAAAGAAAGAAAGAAAGAAAGAAAGAAAGAAAGAAAGAAAGAAAGAAAGAAAAAAATAAAAAAATAAAATAAAATAACACTAACTCAACATAGTACATGCACTGCAACAAATGGCTTATCTTACTTAGTATTTTTGTCTTGTTTCTAGTCAAAATATCTAACAATTCTTAAATCAATATACTTTTACTAGATAAGCCAAGTGACTTAAAGGTCCCATGACATGCTACTTTTTGGATGCTTTTTTATAGGCCTAAGTGGTCCCTAGTACTGTATCTGAAGTCTCTTTCCTTAGTTTAAAATATTGTGTCTGGATACGGTACTTTAGTTGGTTTGTTTATGTATGCTGTTAGTTATTATTATGTAGTTAATGCTAGCCTACGTTGTTGGCTTTTCATGTTGCTCTGATTTGTTATCGTATATATATATAAATTATCAGCTATAGACACTAACCAGCGCCACTATATTAGTCAGACCTCTGCCATTATTACATGTACCTTTTTGGATAGGTGCCGTTGTGGAAAATGTGCTACCATGCCAACAGTCGTCGGTGAAATGTTTGGCGCAGACATACAAAACTTTGGGAAGTTGTGTTGGCGCATTACCAGAGAAAATAAAATGAACCCACTGTTTCTTCATAGGCTCGGATGAAGGAACTAAAAAAATACTTCGGTGTTCATTAGGGCTGCACGATAAATCGCATGTGATATTTAACGCGCATCTTATCAGTAAAGCCGGTTCTGTAATCAGCGGTAAATCTCCATCACCTGTGTGCTTTCACATTGAATAAAATTAACCCACTGTTTCTTCATAGGCTCGGATGAAGGAACTAAAAAAATACTTCGGTGTTCATTTGTACATCCAAACACTGAGCAATGCTTCGCTCGTTTGCAAGCCATGATGTCTCTCGAGGAAAAAAAATATTGCGCTCGCCTCGCACGGTAGTAGCTAATTTTCTCTGGGCGGGCAAAGCAGAGAAAGGGGAGGTAACCTTTCCCCGTATGACGACATAAAGGGAAGATTCCAGATTGGGCCATCTGAGCTTTCATTTTCTCAAAGGCAAAGCAAGATACCCAGGGCTCGGTTTACACCTATCGCCATTTCTAGCCACTGGGGGACCATAGACAGGTTAGGGGAACTCATATTAATGTTAAAAAACCTCATAAAGTGAAATTTTCATGCCATGGGACCTTTAAGATATTTAGTCTTGTTTCCAGGGGGGGAAAAAAACTAAATTAAGTGCATTTTGCTTGAAATAAGTAAAATTATCTGCCAGTGGGGTAAGTAATATGCTCTTGTTTTAAGAATAGTTTACTTACACCACTGGCAGATAATTTTACTTGTTTTAAGCAAAATGCACTTAATTTAGTTTTAAGACTAAATATCTTAAGTCATTTGGCTTATCTAGTAAAGGTATCTTGATTTAATATTTTTTTTGATATTTTGACTAGAAACAAGACAAAAATACTAAGTAAGATAAGCCATTTTTTGCAGTGTGTAAACATGTCCATGAGACCTAAACAATAAAAAAGAAACGTTATCAAGCATTCTTGAATACAAAATTCTTAAAATAAACTTTCTCTTTTTATTATTATTTATTAATGTTGTTATATACATGGCATAATCTTGTGCTTTTTTTCCAAAAAGAAACATCCAAGAGGAAAGTAAGTTTCTGTTTATCGTAGTATCTTTTTGACCCTTGAACTAAAAGAGAGGAGAGGGTTCGTTCGTTCAGTTTTCCTAGCGGAGGATAGTCTTACTGCACGTGGAGGGACAGTAGCAGGTGATGTGCTTTACTAACAGTAGCAAAGGCACCTTTGTATCTTCTTTATAAAAACACGCGCTCGTTTGCGGGTCGCCGTGTGTGTGCTCATTCACAAGTGCAGTCCAGCGTCCCAGGCGGCACACATTCACAATCCTCCACTGAGTCAGATGCTCATACAAAAATAAGAAGAACAAAACACACAAAAATGAGAGTTTCTGCTCCATTTACAGATTGGGAAGATGCGGCTTCAACTGAGCCAAGATACGTCTAATGATTCCTGATTTCTGCTTGAGAGGACAAAGGGGAAGAGGAAGATGGGAAAGAGGAGAAATTGAAAGAGGAAGGGAATAGACAAGAGAAAGAACAAGGAAGACAAAGAAAAAATGACAAAAAAGGGAGAAAGTGATAGTCATTGTGAGAAAGACATGGGGACAGACAGATAGATGCTTTTATGATAGACATCTAGCTAGCTGCAGTAGATAGCTAGACAGACTGACTGACACACAGAAAGAGGCTTTTATGATAAACAGCTAGCTACACTCTAAAAAATGCTGGGTTAAATATAACCCAGCGCTGGGTTAAAAAGGGACAAACCCAGCTATTGGGTTGTTTCGACTCAGCGGTTGGGTTGTTTCGACCCAGCTATTGGGTTGTTTCGACCCAAATGCTGGGTCAAAACAACCCAATAGCTGGGTTTGGTTATATTTAACCCAGCATTTTTTAGAGTGTAGCTAGCCAGACTGACTTGACACACAGATAAACTAGGGTGAGCATACGTGCCCTTTTTCCCGGACACGTCCTGGCCAGGATTTCTTCATTGCCTAAAATAATGTGTTCAACCGATTGTGTATGACACCAAAGTACCGTGAGAGCTATAGGGAGCAGATGGCTCCTTATGCTTTTGAATCGCTCTTGCGGTACTTTGATGTCATGCACAGATCGGTCTGTGCAGCGTCACTCAAGTCGAGCACACCTAATATATGCAAGTTTTTGGATCGCTTTAACGGTTCTCTGTAGATCCCACCTTCTCATGCGCCACGATTGGTCAATTACGTACAATGCCTGCATGTTATTGGTCAAGCAAGTATGAAAACAGGAAAACAAAGCCAAAACCTGGATATTTTAGGCAATATAGAAATGCTGCAGGACGTGTCCGGGAAAAAGAGCATGTATGGTCACCCGACTATGACTATATGAACCTTAACAAATTTACATCAAAGGAAGAATGGATTACTACTTTAAGTAATGTATACTTCCTATAATTCCCAATAACAGGAAGGTTACAAAAATAAAAAGTATTTGCTAGTCATGTGATCTCAAGATGTCTGAACCTGAAGCAGCCCTCTTCATTTCTTTAAGGGCCTGGCCAGGACGTGTCCGGGAAAAAGAGCATGTATGGTCACCATAGATAAATAGACAGACAGATAGATGCCTTTATGATAAACAGCTAGCTAGCTAGACAAATTGACTCACTGACAGATGGTTGCTTTTATGATAGAAAGCTAGATAGATAGATAGATAGATAGACTGACTGGCTGACTGACTGACTGTCATACAGTTGCTTTTATGATAGACAGTTAGACAGACAGATAGACAAACTGACTGACTGACAGACGGACACAAGGTTGCTTTTATGATAGACAGATACCTAGACAGATAGACAGACAAACTGACACACAGATATACAGATATATGCTTTTATGACAGACAGCTAGCTAAATAGCTAGCTAGCTAGCTAGCTAGATAGATAGATAGATAGATACTAGACTGACCAATGGATAGGGATATGGACAGCTTGATGGATGGGTGGATAAAAGAAAGGCTCAACAGAAATGTCTTGAGAAAGAAAAGAGGTCAGAGAAAGTAGAGGAGGAGGGGAAGGAGCAGGAGTGGAAAGGTGAAGGAAGGCCTTTCTGGTGCTGGGTGGTCCATGGCCCACCCACCTTTCTCAGCTCCAGAGACACACACTGTTGGTGGTCTGGCAGGTGGAGGAGCTCTCTGCCGGAGACAGATACAACTTGCCGCTGGGACATACGCACACCTCGTACACAGTCTGCTTGGGGTACGTGGTCCCTGGACCGAGCAAAGTGTCCACGCTCCCGTGTGGAAGATTTCCAAGACGGATTGAGTTTGCGTTTAGAAAGATCTGAGAGGAGGAGAGGAGAGGTGTAGAGAAAAAAGAGAAGAGTGAAAGATAAAACAAGACAGACATTATAATCAAAGACTTCAGATAAATCAACACAATAACAGTCATTTAGGATTAAGCTGCATTTACTCAAATACAAACACAACACTGATGAAAGACTGCATTATTGTGTGAGACATACACAGTTAAACAGTGTTGTCTTGAGTGGCAAAGACACATCACTCAACACATTTCCCAGCTTTAGACGACCCCCACAGTCTCTTTACTGACTATCTGATGCTAACACACAAAAAGGTAAGTACTTTCCCAGTCTTGCAAGCTCTAATCTCAATAGCTGGCTTTATACAGCTTCCGGAAGTTAAGATTCACAGGTTTTAACCAGTCTGCCTGGAAACACTGGATTTGTTCAAATTTGCAAGGATAGTGGCATCAGATCTTTGAAAGATACTCAGTGGCTGGTTCTTGGCCAGAAAAAGGTGAAAGGTAGCAGATTCTTGGTCAGAATAAGAGGGTGCGTTATAAGCATGGAAAGATAATTCTGTCACTTCTCTCATTTGTTCCTGAAAGCTCTAAAAAAAAAAAAAAAATCCCATCACGTTTAATTTCAGCCACATCTAAAAATGATGTAATGTGTTTAATGTTTAATTCCGTGGTGGAACTGATGGTGGCAGAAGTGACATCTTAAATAAAATACAATTAAATAATATTTTCACACTTTTTGCATATTTGATTCGACAGCTTAATTAGAAATAACACACAGTAACACTGTTCTGCTTAAGTTATTTATTTATTTTTGTTTTACCTTGATTTTGCTTTGTTTTATTCACATATCACATCTCTTATTTCTATCTCAGGCTCTTTGGTAACCAGGTGCATTAATATTAGACAATACCTTTATATATACATTATCTACAAATGGCTGTCGATTTAACATGTAAATTTGGTGTGATTAATTATGGAAAAAAGACCAGGTTAGCCTGCTCCAGCCCAGACCTCTATGTCATCTTACATTGAATACAGTTACTGATGAACATGATGCAAGATGATGACTGACTGCGTGATATAGCCTGCAAGAATGCAGCTATAAACCCATACAATTCAAGATATGAGGGCAAAAATGGCCCTATGTGCGTTTTTGTCAAATTTTTATATTATATGATATAATTGAACAATATCACATGCAGCAAGAGTGCCATTTTCCCCTAAATATCTGCATGATTTCAAATGGGATATTGGTTGTATACAACAGTTCAATAAACAATAAGTTAATATTGTGATACATTTTAGACACAGTATCATCAGTATTGTCTGTTTTTGCTCAATTTTGCCAACACAAATAGTTTCAAACAAAGTCTCAGCAGAACTGTTGTGCCTTTCTGAGACACAGACAGCGGTGTTTCATTACTGAAGGAATCCATGTTTTCAAACTAGTGAGTCTAGTGAGCCAATGATTCAGTGACTCATTCATTCAGTCTTTCAATATTCACTGAATGACTCATTCATTAAGACACTGACTTGCCGCTGCCTACTGGAGGTTTTGGTTTCATATTAATTTATTATATTCATATTTATATATATATATATCTTTTTTTTTTTTTTTTTATCATTTCATATGTCAATATATATTTTTTTCAAACTCATTAATCTCATATTATTTATGGAATTCTAATTGCAGTGTAAATGCATTCATGCCACCTCTAACCAGTCTATGTAAATATATGTAAATGCCACTTCAGACTCAGCTTCTGAAAACAATGTAATGGTCACAATGTAACCTTAAAAGTTTAAGTGTAGTACATTTTGATTCAAAATATGTCTTCTAAAGCTACTTTTTGTTATCTCTATTCAATGTTTTTTTCTCAACTGACACAATTACGACTTTATCTTTTGGGGGCAATTTCTCAGTCCAAACTGATGTACAATTAATTTGCAATTAATTTGATTAATTAATCAGCACATCATTTAATTAATTAACCTATTTATTTATATCGATCCAATCTTCACACACACACACACACACACACACACATATATATGCGTGTGTATATACTGTAGTTGCCCTCAACGTATGTTTATAATAAATAAATAATATAAATAAATAAATAAATAAATAAATAAATTTGTTTTAATAAAACACAAGCCCTGGGACATAAAAGTACCCAAACTTGAAGAAATACCTAAGATGCGAGATGATATTAAAAACTCTGACTGTGTAAGATTACCATGACACAATCCTGGCACATTAATTCCTCCTGAAGTACACAAATTTAATTTTCAGATATGGACCAGGAGAGAGAACGTCACCAGGGACATAAACTAAATTTCATTAAAATCCTGTTTGCCCTTTGATTTATACATATGTTGATTCCTGTATTTATCAGTTCCAAAAAGTCTGTTGGCTCTGACAGCTAGGAAAGGCCAAATTATCTTTACCATAAATCACACGCTGTGGGAGAGTGACAAAAACAAAGGAGGAAGAGAGAGAGAAAACGCCAACAAGGAAGAACTAATTACTGTAAGTAATGGTATCTGAGGTGTTGACAGGGCATATCTCTATAAACACTTGCACAAACAAGCCCCATGATGCTTTGCTGTCAGCAGGACAACGCACAGCCACTTTCCCTATATGTATCTCACTTTGTTTCTCACTGTTTGTTTCTCTCGGCTTTTGCTGCATCAGTTTTTCATTTTGCCCATTCCTAGTCCCCTGCAAACTTTAATATAACACTTTTCAAAAGCGAACTTGATTTTTATACAATCAACATGCACGCACAGTCCTCAGATGAACTGCCATATTTGACAGATTTCTTTAGAATTAGGGCTGGACAATTAATCGAAATTAAATTGCAAAGGCGATAAATCGCGATTAGGCAGAAGCTGTGATTGTCATGCGTATCTTTCAGTAAAGCATGGTTCTGTGATCAGCTGTAAATCTCCATCCGAAGGCCAGAGGGCGCTCTCGCGCGGAAACTCCAAATACGCCTAGCAGAAGAAACCCAGGAAATCCCTATAGCGGTTGCTGAATAAACAGAAGATTTAACTGCTTTGATTAGTTCTACATGACTAATAAACACACAACTACGACAATATATGGTTTACCTGAGTTAGTCTTATTATAATTTTTATTATAATAAAGTAGATAATAATGCAATGCTAATCGACATAGCCTTTATCACTGCTTAGAATACTATGAAATATGTTGCGTGCCTTATTCTGTGTAAGAAGCCACATCATCTCAGAAGGATTTATTTCAAACACTCGACTGACGTTATGAAGTGAGTTTGGAGTAAAAACATGTTATTAAATGTGGTATTTTCACGTGCTTTCAGATGGAGCAGCATTTACTACACAGAGCCGTAGTTCACTGACAAGCTACGCAAACAGCTTTCATAATCGCAGAACGATTTCTTCGATTTCATAATCGCGCGATTAAATCTTCTGCGATTATGAACACGATTTTGCGTAGCTTGTCAGTGAACTAAGTTGTGTAGTAAATGCTGCTCCATCGGAAAGCATGTGATGGAGATTTACTACTAATCACAGAACCAGGTTTACTGACAAGATGCGCATGACAATCGCATTCGATTAATCTTGCAGCCCTATTTAGAATTGAATGCAAATTGAATGCTCTAATGTACAGCATAATGTTTACTGTTCTACAACCAGCATTAAATATACACAAAGACATTTCAAGAAATTATGTATGTTTGTTCCTCTAAGTGGAGTACATATCAATAGGAGAAATGTAAAGGAAAATCCTTGGTGGATAAATAAATGCATGCATTTATCAGAATAGGTAATGGGTCTTCAAAACGAGAGGGGGGGAGGCATAAAGATCAAGTAAATGTTAAATGAAATGTAAGAGGAGTCAAGGTGTACATACAATATAGTAATGCTTTCCAAGGCTTTCAAAACACTTCAAATGTATGTTTGCATTGTATAGGTTAAACCATTGCCTACTTGAACCCACTTGAGTAATTCAGAACATTGCACTTTCATATCTGCAATTACCCTCAAGTTGTTGACAAGGCATCTACAGTGACTTTATGATCCATAAAGTATTGCACATAGCTAGAATGACATGAAATATGGGCTCTCCTGATGATTCTTGCCTTTCTTTTATGTTGGACTCACGATTACTCCATATTGAAACAACTATGTTCCAATTTTATTATTATTATTATTATTTATGTATTTATTTTACTGAAGGGTAGTAGGACTGCAAAATTATGAAATGCATATTATAAATAATAATAATAATAATAATAATAACAATAATAATAATACTTTGTTTCTCTGTTGCATTCAATGTTTAGACACTTAAACTGTAATTCTACTTCCCTGAAATTTGTTTTTTGCAGGGCGAGATTAATAATCAATTAAATAATCATATTTATTTAATAATCAACACTAGGTTTAATACAAATACAAGCTGAGCTGTATACAAACATTTAAATTGCACATATGTCAGTTTTTATATAAACTTTGTAATTAAATAATTATGTTTTCATGTTTAAACTTGATTTTGTAACAGATTTATTTTAGTAATGAAGACACGACTAATAATATAATGATTATGTAATACAGTGCATACATTTAACATAAATAATTTTTTTTCTCCTTCCCTTGTTAAAAATCAGGAAACAGACGCTGAAACAGTCAAAATATGACTAATTAAACATCACTGTTTCGATCAACAATTTTGGCCCCCACAAAACCATTTTGGACAAAAGTGAAGATTCATTCATTCATTTGTTCGTTTGTCTGTTTCTTAATTCGTTCGTTCACACTTGCTTGCTTGCTTGTTTACTGTTTCAGAACAATAATTTATGTTGCCAAAATTTTGGTGCATCACTCAATCAATCCACAAAGAAATGATCTTGATACCAGATGGTTAAAAACAATTGAAAAGAAAAAACGCCACTAAAATGTGAAGTTCTGAGAAAGGTGAAGGTGTCACTTGGTATTTCTATCTAATGCAATGAATTCAGACATTTTTA